GTCTGTACCCCGAGGTACCACTGTACAATTTGAATTCCATAGACTGAGAGACAACAACTGGCCCAGGGTCACATAGTGAGTTTTGTGACTGGGTGGTGATTTTAACCCTGATTTCCAAGCTCCAAGTCCACTTGATATCCCTGCATTTCATTCCACATTCCAAGGGGGAGGGACGTTGAAATAAATATAATATAATTAATATAATCCTTTCCCATAGGCCTGGAAACACATTGGGTCCCTTGTTAACAGTCCTGTGTTGCACCTTTAAGACTAACCAATTCATATTGCAATCCCGTACATATCAGGGAGCAATTCCCACAGAATTCAGTCGGGCTTCTGAATATTATTGCGTATCAAGACCCCAAGGCTTATGTTGAATAATAACACCAGGACACAGTATATTAGGTTAATGGGCAAATTTAGACCACAACTTTATTGGTTACAGAATGTGAGCGGTATTGGCTTAGGCACTGGAATTGAACCGACTATGTCTGACTCCTGCCCGCCATGCAGGTAGTCTAGTAAGGGTCAACCGCCAATAGGGGAAGCCATGTTGATGTACATCAACTCAAGCTCCCCCAGGGTCCCTGATGCACCCGGGGACTTTCCAATGACGTGGGGGCTAAGCCCAGCGCCGGTGCAGGCAAGAGGCCAAATGGCCTACTCGCAACACCGCCCCACCAGGATGTGGAGCGGCCTTGTCACATGAATCCATACCAAAAATTGGGACGGGAAGGATCCCTTCTGAACTAAGAGATGGAGGCCGTATAACCTTTGTCCCTGCAGAATGGCAACTGTGACAGCCCTTCTGAAAGAAGTAAGACATTTTTCAGATTAGCTAGTTGCTAACTACAGTGGTACCTCTGGTTACGTACTTAATTCGAGGTCCGTTCTTAACCTGAAACTGTTCATAACCTGAAGCACCACTTTAGCTAATGGGGCCTCCTGCTGCTGCCACGCCGCCGAAGCACGATTTCTGTTCTCATCCTGAAGCAAAGTTCTTAACCTGAGGTACTATTTCTGGGTTAGTCTGTAACCTGAAGCATCTGTAACCCGAGGTACCACTGTAGTAATAATAATAATAATAATAATAATAATAAAGCGGCAAAACATCAAACATTAAAAACTTCCCTAAGCAGGGCTGCTTTCAGATGTCTTCTAAAAGTCAGATACTTATTTAAAAGTCAGATAGACCTACATACATACAGGGATTCATATTTTTTGTTATGTACAGTGGTGCCTCACAAGACGAAATTAATCCATTCCGCGAGTCTCTTCGTCTTGCGGTTAATTCGTCTTGCGAAGCACGGCTATTAGCGGCTTAGTGGCTATTAACGGCTTAGCGGCTATTAACGGCTTAGCGGCTTAGCGGCTTTAAGAAAAAGGAAACAAACTTGCAAGAACTCGCAAGACGTTTCGTCTTGCGAAGCAAGCCCATAGGGAAATTCGTCTTGCGGAACGACTAAAAAAACCGGAAAACTCTTTCGTCTAGTGAGTTTTTCGTCTTGCGGGGCACCACTGTACTGAAGTTCTCACCCTGCGCCAGCAGGGGGATACTGTAGATAGTTCAGGTCCACATATGCAAATAAGGGATCGAAAGTGATGTTCAGTGATTGGATAGTTACAGAAAACTGTTACTGTTGCGTTCTAGTGGAGCTCTATATAAGCAGGCTGGCTGAACCCTTCAGTTCAGTTCTGTGTATAAACAAGAGCTGTTTGAAGAATCGCTGTGTTGTCGGATATGTTCACCCACAACTTAACATTTTTCCTCCTTCAGATGTCCCTTGTGGGATCAAGCAGAGGGGTTATAACTCAGGAAGGCCCTCTTAGTGTTCCACACTGCCCTAATACAAAATTGCTCCCTCCCAAGTAGACAAAGCCACATGCAGGCTGACTATAGAGTCACAATCAGAGCCTCAATGGTGTTGATTACTCTTCTGGCTCAGCAAGAGCAGGAGACGTTTTTGGCAAAACTCTACTCTTTGCCCTGAAGGAAATTAATTTTTGCAGATGGCGTCCACATGACCGAAGCAGGAAGTATGAATGGAATCCTTACCCACGAACAAGAAAACAAGGCTTGCATCTTCAGTCACCAAGATGCTGATAGATGCTTGCCCAGAAGGCGGTTGACATCTGGCTGGATAACTACATTCCTGGCCTGGAGACAGTTCCTAAATTTACTCTCATCAGACTGTTTACAAAGCTGTGGCAGAAGAATGCTATTCAGTGGTTTGGAGCACCTACACAAGCCTGACACACAAACCCCATTTTACAGCATTTCTGAAGTTTTTAGGGGCTCCCAAAATATCCATAACAAGCACCAGGATGAAGACCACACTCCAGTTTTCAGGATTTTTAGTGCAATTGTTATTATTCGTGGCAAACCTGGTCGTTCAAAAGGCAAAATTCCAGGCAAAGGAGTTATAGCCATCTTTGCCAATCTGGTATCTTCCAGATATTTTGGACTCTACAACTGGAGTCCAAAACATCTGGAGCTTGTCTTGTTAGCAAAGACTGAGCTGTAAAGTATTTCTCTTCTGGATGAGAGAGGAGGTGGATTAGATCGAGCAGCAGGCCCAGAAGTCGTGTGCGGAATAGCCTGTCTCCTTGACAATTACCAGTCCAAGAAAACTGGAATAGTTCTGATACGATGTGCCATATTACTCATCCAAAGACTATCTCTGGAGAGACTTATCTTTCATTTGTTGGCAGCTTCTCTAAAGCTTCAACTTGAATGCGGAATATCTGCCCCGGTTTCCTACATGAAGGGTGGAGAGAAGGTGTGTTTATCCCATGGAAGGCAAAAGAGCTTAGCGAAGTTTGTGCAGGTTCTCACAAGAGGATGAGTGACTCATTAACAAACCCCAAATGAGCAGGCACGCTGCGATTGTGACGGCAAGTATTATTGTTATTGCATTCCTGCTGTGGTTCTCCCTTGTCTGGCTGTATTGTTGCCAGCCTTCTAAGTAGGGAAGTTAAAAATAGAGAACATTTGTTAGAAAGCTTTGGGGAGCGTTCTTTCCCCCCCCCAAAAAAAGATAATTATGGATCCCCTATGGTGCATAGATTCTCACTAGTGGTGCAACAGTCGTTCTGTTCAGAGGATTATTCAAGACATAGATGGGAAATCAGAACAGCTATTCCGATGTCTTGGGCGTGTGATAAACTGCAACTATTTTGGAAGACAGCTGTTAATGAGATAAGCTTCATTAGAAACCCAAACGTTATTTGCACCCCACCCTTGGTTTTGATAATCTTTCTCCAAGGTCTCAGGCAGTTCCAAGAATGGAAACTCAACTGATATGTTTGTGTTTCTCTGTGTGTGTGTGTGTGAGAGAGAGAGAGAGAGAGAGAGAGAGAGAGAGAGCGCTCCCATTACTTAGATGGGAGTGTTTGGGTTCCTGTAAACCACAGAGCCTAGGGCTTGCTGATCAGAAGGTAGGCGGTTCGAATCCCCACAACGGGGTGAGCTCCCATTGCTCAGCCCCTGCTCCTGCCAACCTAGTAGTTCAAAAGCACGTCAAAGTGCAAGTAGACGCTGGTCTGTGACCGTATTAATAAATTCATTCATTCAAAGTGCAAGTAGATAAATAGGTACCACTCCGGCGGGAAGGTAAACGGCGTTTCCGTGTGCTGCTCTGGTTTGCCAGAAGTGGCTTAGTCATGCTGGCCACATGACCCAGAAGCTGTACGCTGGCTCCCTCAGCCAATAAAGCGAGATGAGCGCCGCAACCCCAGAATTGTCTGCAACTGGACCTAAAGGTCAGGGGTCCCTTTACCTTTACCTTTAATATTTTCAGGGGATTACAAGTCATACTAAAGCTATCTTTAGGGGGTTGCAGGGCCTGGGGCAAATCACACACCCCAGCCTTCTAAAGTCCAGGCCATCATTCTCAGCGACATCCCCGGATATCATGCAAGGTAATTTTCAATGAGAATGAAAAGCGAAGCCCGCCGAGGCTGTTTTTCTTCCTGAGAGGATGCCGTTCTCTCATATGTCAGCTTAAAGGTTGTGTACGTCTTCTCTTCCCTTTCCTCTTAAAGTTAGAAGTCCTGTAGGTACCATAGCAACCGCTGCATCACGTGGCTTTCTGCAATGCCACCTAGAAGCAGATGTGAACTGTGTTGGCTAATAAAGTCTGAGCAAGTGTCAGACAGAGAGAGAACTCAGCCAGACTTGGCATTGCTTTGGAATAATTCATTACTCAATGATCCCTCACTCCTCTGATTCACATAGGTAAATCCCAGCCCACAAGCAAAGTGAACTCTAATTACAATTCTGCCTTTTAAAAAGGAGCTGTCAGTGCTACTTACATTCTGCTGATCTCTCTCTCCTTCTCTCTCTAATTATCCAGTACTCCATTGTGCTAAAGCTTGTAGCTGGGTGGCTTTGGGAGTGGAATCTGTATTCCTATGGACATGTGTTAGCAACCATTGAGGGGCCCTTTGCTTTGCTATTGGTGGGATTGATCCTGGCTGCAAGGCTGTGATATAGAAAAAATAGGGGTGGTTGGCTTTTGCTGCCCAACTCTCCAAGGGACTGAGTCCCCTAAGTCCAGAATCAGCAGAGATGAATGGATGGAGGCAGGATGCAGTGAAAGCAACGTAGATCTTTATTTTTCTGTTGTGACAGAGCTCCCTCCCCTCGTAGCAAGGAGGCAAGAGAGACCCCAAACCAAGAAGAAACATCTCTTTTCAGGGTTTGCATTTTGGCATCCAGAAGAAGGACACCCCCTCTACAAACAGTCAGAAATTACATCAGACACAAGGTGGGGTTACTGTGGCTCAGGCAGGCCAAGGTGTCATATTCCTGAGGATTTAGCAAGTTTCACATAGTTCCAGTTTACAAAAAACATTAGCATTTGGTAAGGCCATCAGGATGACCATCGGACATCCCTCAATGCAGAGCATCTGGGCAAACCATGACAATTAATACAAAGGAGGTTTATAGATATAGGAGAAGAATTCCTTCACGAACTTCCCCTGATTGCTATCTGCCTGTCTGTTCTCAGGTAAAGGGGATTAAGGAAGCAGAGGAAATATTGAGAGCGCCAAGATGGCTTTTGCATTGCTCTCCTGTACTATTTTTAGGGACGCGGGTGGCGCTGTGGGTAAAACCTCAGCGCCTAGGACTTGCCGATCGCATGGTCGGCGGTTCGAATCCCCGCGGCGGGGTGCGCTCCCGTCGTTCGGTCCCAGCGCCTGCCAACCTAGCAGTTCGAAAGCACATCAAAGTGCAAGTAGATAAATAGGGACCGCTTACCAGCGGGAAGGTAAACGGCGTTCCGTATGCTGCGCTGGCTCGCCAGATGCAGCTTGTCACGCTGGCCACGTGACCCGGAAGTGTCTGCGGACAGCGCTGGCTCCCGGCCTCTAGAGTGAGATGAGCGCACAACCCTAGAGTCTGTCAAGACTGGCCCGTACGGGCAGGGGTACCTTTACCTTTACCTGTACTATTTTAGACATGTGATTTATGTACTTATGTATGTGTGTTTACCTTGTGCAATTATCAACATTTATTCTATATCTAAGACCTTAGAATAAGGGACACGGGTGGCACTGTGGGTTAAACCACAGAGCCTAGGACTTGCTGATCAGAAGGTCGGCGGTTCGAATCCCCACGACGGGGTGAGCTCCCGTTGCTTGGTCCCTGCTCCTGCCAACCTAGCAGTTCAAAAGCACGTCAAAGTGCAAGTAGATAAATAGGTACCACTCTGGCGGGAAGGTAAATGGCGTTTCTGTGCGCTGCTCTGGTTCGCCAGAAGCGGCTTTGTCATGCTGGCCACACGACCCGGAAGCTGTACGCCGGCTCCCTTGGCCAATAAAGCAAGATGAGCGCCGCAACCCCAGAGTCGGCCACGACTGGACCTAATGGTCAGGGGTCCCTTTACCTTTACCTTTAAGACCTTAGAATTCCTATAACAGCTGGTTGCTGGCATTTAAGGGGGGGGTGAACCTAAAATTGAGTGGGTATCAGAACAGTTGCATTAAACATGCTAAAAAACTGTTGTGCCTACTAGAAGCGCACACTAAAACAAGCATAGATCCACTTAACTGAGGAACTTCAGAAGCTGCCGTACCCTGAGGCTCTGTACACACACCCATTTACAACCAGTGACTCCCACTGCTGGTTTGCGAAGCAGTGTAAACATCCATATCTATTCTGTATCTTGGAGCGATGGAGAAACGTTCACATTTCTGCACCAAGAGATCTCTTTATCAGAGATATGTTGTTTGAGGTTGATGTGCCCTTGACAGCAAACTTCAAGGAAGCTCTACAGAGACTCATCAACCGTTTTGCCCTAGCCTGCAGGGAGTTCAGCCTTCTCATCAGCCTGACGAAGAAAGACCAACATTGTCCTGGGTCAGGACGTTACTGGCACTCACTGTTGATGACTACATACTTGAGGTGGTAGATGATTTTGTCTACCTGGGTTGCACCATAACCAGGAACCTCCCGATTGTCAGGGGCTGGACCAAGGAGGAGTGGTGGGGACTGCCATCCCTTCTCCTGAACATTCCCAATAATAGGAGGACAGTCTTAAAAAGCAGAGGCATCACCTTGCCGACAAAGGTCCGTATAGTTAAAGCTATAGTTTTCCCAGTAGTGATGTATGGAAGTGAGAGCCAGACCATAAAGAAGGCTGATCGCTGAAGAATTGATGCTTTTGAATTCTGGTGCTGGAGGAGATTCTTGAGAGTCCCATGGACTGCAAGAAGATCAAACGTATCCATTCTTAAGGAAATCAGCCCTGAGTGCTCACTGGAAGGACAGATTGTGAAGCTGAGGCTCCAATACTTTGGCCACCTCATGAGAAGAGAAGACTCCCTGGAAAAGACCCTGATGTTGGGAAAGATGGAGGACACAAGGAGAAGGGGACGACAGAGGACGAGATGGTTGGACAGTGTTCTCGAAGCTACCAGCATGAGTTTGACCAAACTGCGGGAAGCAGTGGAAGACAGGAGTGCCTGGCATGCTCTGGTCCAGGGGGTCACAAAGAGTCGGACATGACTAAACGACTAAACAACAACATAGATTTAGAACAGTGGTTTGCAGAAGGGCATAGTTCAGAGGCTGCAGAGGGGAGAAGCAGGGAAATATTGGAAGAGGAACTTCAGGAAGAAGAAGAAGCGCCAGGGGAGAGAAAGCTGACAGACTCGGTGTCCTTGCAAAGCATTCCTGACACACACATCTCCCGAACCAATGGGCATTGTGGGTAGTAGAATAGAGAGCTCAGAGGCAGAAAGCTCAGATTAGCCAACGCAGGGGTGACGTAGAATAGGGACGACGTAGGGGGGGTTGGACTTTACTTGGAGCAACGCCATTTCGAGAGAGAGAGAGACCACATTCCTTTGTCTCCCGCTGTGATTACTGAATAAACGAATTGGTAAGAACTCTTCTCTGTTTTTCTCTGCTTCTTTGCTGCCACCGTGGGAGGAATCTGATTTCCCAAAGCCTGACAACTGTCAGTGCTGAGCTGGGCAAGCATTTTAGCAACACAACTACAGCAATGGCTCACCCCTCCAAAAGGGCATGGGAGAATGCGATGCTAAAGTGCAATACCAAGATGAAGATCTATCAGGCTTGTGTGTTAAGCAAGTGAGTCGTGGGCAGCTTACAACCACCAGGAGCGATACCTCAACACCTTCCACACGGGCTGCATCGGGAAGATTTGGGGCATCACACGGCAGAACGGAATTTTAAACAAAGGTGTTGTGCTGGTCCCGAGGGTTAACCATGCGGTGAGGTCCGAGTCCAGTCCGAGGTCGAGGGTGCAGTATGGAGGCTGTCCGTCAAAGCTGAAGCAGGGTCCAAGGCAGGGAGTCGGGTGAGGTCAGGAACTCTGGCAGAAGAGCAGGACAGGGTGCAGACAGGAACAAGCTACCAACAATGTTGTTCCCACAACCTGGGACTGGGGCTAGCTGGCTTTTATCTGCCCTGAGGCATAGGGCGGCCCCGGTCCACAGGTGACTTGCCTCTCCTGGCCTGGAGGTGAGCACTCCTCCTGCGGGAACTTAGTTCCCTCCGCTTCTCTGCCCTGAGTCTCTGCAGCTCAGGAGAGGCTGGAGGGTTATCAGACCCAGAGGCAACCTCAGCTTCCCCTGACAGGGCTGGGAGAGGAACACCTGCAGGCAATGGGTCCTCCATCACCTCAGGAGCCAGAGCAGACTCAGCTGGTGCCTGCACCTGAGGATCCAGCACAGGTGAGGACCCTTCAGGCTCATCCCCCAGCCCCAGCTCAGCTGGTTCTGGAGGTGGGGACGCCTGTGCAGGCTGGGATTCCTCAGGTTCAGCCTCTGAGTCCGAATCCCAGGCCATTACAGAGTCGTGGGCAGCTTAAAACCACCAGGAGCGATACCTCAACGCCTTCCACACGGGCTGCATCAGGAAGATTTGGGGCATCACACGGCAGAACGGAATTTTAAACAAAGCTGTGCTCTCCCAAGCCCACATGTCTGCAGTCCTGTCTCAGCAAGATCTACCCTGGCTTGATCCCCATGGACATGCTCTATGGGGAGCTGGCTTCAGGCACCAGCCCCACTGGCAGCCTGACTCTGCTTTACAAAAATGTCTGTAAATGGGATGAAGGCTGGCAACACCAACCCCGCTGTGTGGGAATCCCTTGCAGATGGCCCCAGTGCCTGGAGGCAAGCAGAGAGAAGAAACGCCATGGTGCATCTACAGCAGCACAACCGGACGCCTTCATCCGCTCCAGCTGCAACAAAACATGTCTCCCCCATATCAGTCTCTACAACCACAGCAGGCACTGCAACCTTCCAACAGTTTGACTTCGCCCCCAAAGGCTCACTCCTCCATTGCCTCCTGAGGCAGGATATCAGGGACTGGGCAGAGGAGGAATGGTGGAGACCGCCTCCCCATCCTGACCCTTCCAAGGAGGAGGAAGAGGAAGACATATAGATTTACAACAGGGGTTTGCGGGAGGTCGCAACTCAGAGGCAGATGAGGGAAAAAGCTGGGGAATCATGAGAGAGCCGGAACAACACCCGACTGACACGTTGTCATTAGAAAGCATTCCAGACCCTCCATCTCCCAGAACCCGGCGAGCCTTAAAAGTAGGAGAGCAAAGAGCTCAAAGACAGAAGGCACATAGCAGCACCCGTAGAGGAGATGATGAGATTGACGAATAAGGAAGTGGGAGAGATTCACTCGGGACAACGCCATTATCCAAGAGGCTGGTGTCTATAGCCTCTTTCTTCAAAGATTGAAATGAAAAAGGACTGTAAGAAACTTTTCCTTGTCTCCATACTTTCTTGGGCAACCAGCCAGGAGCCGCTGACAACATCCTGACACAGACGGATGCCAATACAGTCATACCTTGGGATAAATACGCTTCAGGTTGAGCGCTTTTGGGTTGCGCTCCGCGGCGACCCAGAAGTAACAGAGCACGTTACTTCCGAGTTTCGCCGCTCGGTCAAAATGATGTCACACACATTCGCGGAAGCGGCAAAATGTGACCCGCGCACGCGCAGATGCGCTGTCGCGTCTTACGTTCTGTTCAGGATGCAAACGGGGCTCCGGAACGGATCCCGTTTGCATCCCGAGGTACTACTGTAACAACCAGGAAAGGAGGATATCCCTGACAAAGCACAGAGAAGGTGAAATTCTCCTCTGCCCATCACTCAGCAGCCCTTTGCATCAATTCCAAACCTTTTTGTGGAGTTTTCATTCAAGACCATGGTGTTGGATCATTGCCATATAACCCTTTTCCGCACATCCTGTTTCTCCTCCCTCCATCTTTCTCTTGTCTGTTTCTGCCACACCTACTCGGCTACGAGTGATCGCGGAAGAAGAAAGAGGAAGAAGACACGCCGTATTTCTCTCTTGCCACTACTGCCTGTACCTCCTCCTTTGTTGTTGTTCTCACCTAAAGGCTTCCATCCATCTCCCTACCTCCTCCCCTCGACCAAGTCCTTCCTCATTTCTCGATTTCTCCCAACTTATCCCAAGTGCTTGAACAATTCAGCAGCTCAGCGAATGAACAGGGAGTCTACTGCCATGCAGCAGACAACAGCATGTGTTTGCTGCCCCAAGCAAAAGTTAAATGAAGCATGGCGCCAGAAAAAGGAAAGAAAAAAACTTGCACATATATGCACACACATTCACAGTGAGAAAGGGAGCTGGTCAGCTCTGAAGTTGCAGCAGGGAGAGAGCTGGAGGGTTCGCTGGAACTTAACTAATAAATTGAACAAAATCATCAACAGTGC